AGAAAATAAATTATGTGAAACCTGGATAAATCATTTAATTTTATTGCAATTTAATTACAGAAAAAGTACCCTCTCCGCTTTGTTCTTGTTTGAAAACAAGGCCATGTAATGAGATTTCTGCTGCCAAAATTCGTATGTGGTAGAGCCCATATTAAAATTACCTGTTAAATGATTATTAGAGACTTGGTCAAGATGGTAAGATGGGGAAGGAAAGTGAAACAGCATCAAAAAAGGCCAGAGAGAATCGTAATGTGTTCAAGGGAGCCAAGAACAACATTCACAAAATATGAAGAAGCATTTCTGAAAAGGAAGTTATGCTTTTAGATAATCCAACCTGACACTGGCACTGCAAGGCAATATTACTGGACAACACCTTAGAAAAAATTCTGGTTAAATAGGCATGGTTTGATTTTCTACTGTGTTCAAACTTGGTAGGAAAGGTGATCTTGTGGTTAAGGCACTGGAATACTAATTTGAAAATCGGTGGTAAACTCCTGGTTCTGCCATTGACTTTCTCTGTGACCTTGATTAAGTCAAGTAACTATTGGCACAATTCCACATGTTCACTCAAGTAAGGTGAACTCTTCCTTGCCACTGAAAACAAAGTAATGTGGGGCACATTTAGTGATGACGTATCTGTGACAGGGTAATGCCATTTGTTTTTGATTGGGGAAGGCAAGGAAGAGGAGAACAGATGTCTGTTGGAAGTCTTCATCCTGCATGTCTTCTTTCATGCCAGCCCTGCTCCTTCTCAGTCTTTCACGAGAGCTATAGGTTCTCCAACTTTGAAAATCTACAACATGCATGTTGGTAGCTTTTCTGATACTTCAGTTGCTAATTCTAAACCGTTATACTTTAAAGAGTACACTTCCAGAGCAGGGATTTAGCTCCAGGTTACCAGTATGGTTATCAGGAAAACATGGCTAACCCCCCATGAAACAGAAATTTTACCACTTAGTGGTGAAAGATTAGTAAAGTTTAACCATCTATTTTATGGTACAAAAAACTTAAAATCAGCTGGGATGAAAATGAAAGTAAACATGTAAAAGGAAGTTTTAAAGGGACATAATCAAATCCGGTCCCAAACTTAGACTTGGTAAAAACTGCTTGTGCAAAACCTAAGAAATGCTGCCTTTTAAAAATTCCAACTGATTTTTTTAAACAAATATTCTTCTACAACTGAAACACTGTAGCTCTGAAATAACTAAACTTAAAACAAAAGCCAAACTGACCTCACCTATTTTCACTGTCCCAGATGAGAAACTAAAAGTAAAGTGAATTTTTAAACTTTCATTGTTAATTATTTAAAGTTAAAATTATCAGGAAAAAAGAACAGTTTAAAATTATTTAAAATTTACACTCCCTCTCCAAATGAAACTTATGTTCAAGAAAAACGCGTTCCCTTTTTAAAGTTGCCTTTCATGTGACTCAGTGAAACCTACAATGTGCACAGCTTCATTACCTACCAAGTGAAACAAATCAAAGCATTTACTTTCACCACTCTTTACATTTTCATCAACTATATGAATTTTTGGCTTGCCTTTTTCTGTACAGATTAATTCTGCATCAACTAACCAGTTTCTCTTTTTACGTTTATGCCTACACATGACACAGACTACTTGCTTTCTCCTTGTCGATTGCCAGATCTCTTCAATTTCACAAACCGAGTTCTCATTATTAACTCTCAGCAAGAAGCCTTACCACTATGAATCACTCCAGTGACAAACAGCAAATTCCAGCATATTAGCACTACTCCCACAATGCTTCAGAATGGGAGAGAAGTTCTACAGCAACTGGAAGCCTTGGCTTAACTGCCACAGATTTGGCACTTGCACTAGAAGCTTTTGTGCATCTTCAGTAAAGAAGAGAGCAAAGAATAATTTATAAAATTTCAGCAACAATAATACTGTATTTAATTCAATTTTTACAACTGTAGGTTCTCACTCTGTCCTCAAGTATAAGAGGAGGGACAATTGGAAAAGCAGAATGTTATACACCTCACTTCAGTGAAAGTTGATTAAACAATGGCAAATCTGTCCACAAATTAAAAGCTGAATCATCATCCCACAGCTGGGGTTAAAAGAAGATGCCCCATGAACATACCTAGGGGGAAAATGAGAGCTAAGTCTCCAATTAGCTAAATCTCCCAGCAGAAACTGGGAACCCTGACTCCCTTCTAGTCAAAAGCTCTAGCACTGACTCTCTCTGAACTAAGCATGTGCTACAGCACAGTCCCTTAGCCAGAGAAAGTGAGTAAGGCATTACAGTAAAAAGTGCTTTAGAAATGTATGTAAAAGATGTGAGGAAACAGGAGCACACACCAATTTTGCTCATAAAACCACTTTAGAAGTTAGCCTCCTGGATGCGGTTTTCCCCCATATGCAAAGATCAAACCAGTATTTTCTCAGTTACATTTGTTATAAAGGAAAAATAATGTAAATGAGAACAAAAGTAAAGACTCCATCAAAAGCAGTGTCTGACTCTTAACAAGCTGCATCCCTATGCCTTGCAAAATCACATCTGTGTCTGCAGAGACTTTCAGAAACTGAAAAGGGCCCCTCTCCCCCCACACACAGAACTACATACACAAGAAGCATGTCTTCTCTTCATGTAGAAAATGTATGTTCAGTTTAAACACAACTTCATATAATCCTCATTTTAGCAGCCATGCTATTTTAAAAGGGTCATTTTTGAGGACACTAGCAGCTCACAGACCCAGTGGTAGAGATGATAAAGCATCTGTTTTACATCCTGTTTTAATATTTTGATAATCACAAGAATATCACTGTTCAATATTTAGCAAAAACAAACAATAGGAATGTAAAGTAGGAAACTGGTTTACAATTTAACACTTCACACTTTGTGTCACAAATGAGGTCCCTCTTCATGATTACTGGCAGGCAACAATTCAGAAACTGAGTTAATCAAAGCTTTTTAAATACAACTCATGCTTTATCACATGACAAAAAATGCTTCACCATGTAAAATTTCAAGATGCTATGCTGAGCAAACAGGGTGCAGCTTCTCCTTAGATGAATGTCCCCATAAACCAGGGGTGGGCTCGGGGGTGCAGACTCCGGGTGGCACTTACCTCAAGCAGCTCCCGGAAGCAGCAACATGTCCCCTCTCCAGTTCCTACATGGAGGCACGGCCAGATGGCTCTGCGCGCTGCCCTGTCCGCAGGCGCCGCCCCTGCAGCTCCCATTTGCCGCAGTTCCCGGCCAATGGGAGCTCGGGGCAACGCGCGGAGCCCTCTGGCTGCCCATAAACGTAGAAGCCAGAGGGGGGACATGCCGCTGCTTCCGAGAGCTGCGGCACATGGAGCAGCCCCTGACCCCGCTACCCAGCAGGAGCTCAAGGGTTGGATTAAATTGGCTAGTGGGCCGGATGTGGCCCGCAGGCCGTAGTTTTCCCACCCCTGCCATAAGCAATGACTGAAGAGAAAACAGAGCCAAAAGCAACTAACTTATTCTCAACTGCAACTCATATCTTCTGTTCAGGTTTTTATAATTATAGCTTTAAAGAATATCAAATCAGAGTTATAAAACCACCATAAGACAGATGTCTATGTTTTTCTAAGCTTTGAAGTTCCTTCTCCCCACTTCCAGTATCTCACCTCCTGTCCCTGTCTGAACACGTAAACAGATAGTCAATCCTTTGACATGATGGCAAACTAAACCTGAAACTATCAGGAGACCTCTGACCTAACTGAAGAATTCTGAAGCTGCAGTCTCTTTCTCACTCTGACACACAACCACACTATTGTGCTGATTTCAGAGAACAAATCACCTTCTCAGGAGACACAACACAAACAGCAAACTTCAGTTTTTAGTTGAATTAGCCTTCCAATTTAAACGGTTTTCTTCACTATATTGGTAATTTACTCATTAAAATATTGCACTACGTAATAGTAGCTAGACAATGAGTTAAGGAAATCAATGCGAAGTTCCATCTTCAGACAAAGTTTCAAAAAGAAACGTTAATTGATTCCTACTACATCCCTTTGAAACTACACAGTTCATGGAAGTAAACTTTTACTTTCATAAAGTCTATTTAATTCTTAAACAGAATATATGCAGCACAAATATAAATGCAAGAAGCTAGATGTGATGTGGGATACAGCTATACATTCTGCTTAAACATGTTTCAAAAACTTTTTTTTCCATGCAGGAAAAAAGTCAATAAAGTCCTTTGTGAATTTAGGCCACAGCGACCAAGAGCTGGCTCGATGCAGTTATATTTTTATAGTAATATTGTAAACATGAATTAACAAAACAGGGGTTTTTGACAGAGTTTTTTTTTAATGCATATGTCAGTAGAACTATGTATCCCATCACAAGAAAGTGTGAAAGTCCTCTAGACATTCTATAGGAGTAATCATCTGTCTGCCAATGACCAATATTTTCAGTCTATATATGGAGCAATCCCCACTAGGTGACTAATGCCATTAGCAGTCAATTGTGGAGCAGCCCATTAGAAACCAAGCACCAGTCAAGACGAGCAGTTAGCTTAGCAAAGATTAACCTATTGGCTTGCTATGGACTAAGAGGTATCCAGTGTTCAAAGGGATGAATCCAGAAGCCCTTTCTCAGTTTCTCAGTCCATAAAGTGTAAGAGACTTCAAAGAGTTTTGCCTAAGTAAGGACTTCTTGGTTTAGAATAAAGTGAGTGAACTTTAGACTATAACTCCGGTCTCAAGTTCAAATCACTTTAACAAATTGCCAGTCTCTTCCCACTTCTGTTTCGTATCAGGTAAAATATAGTTTAAACAGAACGCTTTCTTGCAGCATTTATCAATCCAGGCCAACAGATAGACTAGTCTGTTTGTTCAAGCTCCATTTATTTGTCTTTATTTTTTGTTGTGTTAGAGAAATTAAACAAAACCCCAAAACGTCTGACTGCCCATACTTACATCCACACAAAGAAATTTAGCAGCTCTCTTAGAAGATGAGAGCAGACATTTCTTTAGAACACAGTGTTAAAAATATCCGTTTCCCTACCTGTTTCTCACTCAAAGCTGTGATTTTGGCTTGGAGTTCATGAAGCTGTTTCTTCAAATCAGCATTCTGATCAGAAAGAAAAAAATATCTGTGAGAAAGATATTCCATTTGTTAACACAATAGGAGCAGGACTTCTTGCATGGTGTACTACAAATAATAAAGCACCTCTGGACATACCACCAATCAGATTATTCAAATGGCCAAGTAGAGGCTTATTCAAAAGTCATCTGGTACAATAATCATTAGTGGATTTTTCCAGTGTTCAAAAATAAACTTGGGGGGGAAGGAAGAGATGTGGCTCAGTTTCGAAGGAGTTAGTTAAAACATCCCTGGGTGCTTCACAATATGCTGTAATAAGGTTAATTTGTATATCACTGTATTTTCAGATCAGAGAAGCCAGAAGGAAAGCTGTTTATCTTAGGGATTTCTATAGTACGCATCACATACTAAAAGTATTGTCTCACCTCCATTACTTATTCAGTGACAGACAGATATCAATTGACTGTCAAGGACTTCAGTAACCATATCTATTAGTAGGAATTAAACAACCATGCACTCCAAATGAGAGGTGGAATATATCTACTACATCCTCTTCCCCCTTTTCGGTACAATAGTCTATGTCTTTTTACACCTTAGTTTATATTTAGAAAAGTTGTGGCAGCCTTAACAATGCACCACTCATGTTAGCAATTTGCCTACAAGGACATTTTCTCAAGTTTAAGATTCTGAGAGCCATAAACAGCTCACTGTACAGGATGTGATAGGGAACTCAAATTTTATTTACTAAATCTAATAAAAATACAAAGAAAAAAATCAAACCAAAACACACACACACAGAAAATGTGCTTAACAGCTTCAAAATCTTGTTTTGCATAAGTTTCCCTGCATTTTTCTTCTTCCATTTTCTCCTCATGCAATCTCTTTCTATGTCAAGTCATAGCTCACCTAGATTGTTGATAAGGGAACACATATTTCTGTAAAATGGCATGCACACCTTCGGCGCTATATAAAAACATGAAACCAACAAACATCTATTACTACTACAGGGACTACCATTCTCAGAATAACTTCCACACTTTCACATTCCTCCACACAACTTTGAAATGCATCCTAATCCTGACCTACAATCCCTTCTAGTCCTAGGATATCATAAAGCTCCAAAAGCTATTCCAAATCTTTACTCTCAGCCCTCCCTTGCTGTTCCAATACTGGCCCACTTCACAGCTCATTTCTGACCTGCAGCATCTATACCAGTAAAACAGAAATGTCTTGCTCCAGCGTCTACTCACCAAGCACATACTCAGATAATGCAAATCATAGAAGATAGCAGAAGTGCATTTATTGGGCTCAATTCAGACACAGCAAAGAAAGATTTAAAGCAGTGAGGGGAAAATATTTGCACCACTAGGTGAAGCACTGACTTAGTTTCTCAAAGTGATTTTAGGGTTGGCAAAAAGAGCCAGGTTAACTGCCCTGGAAACTAAAGTCCTCTATTTGCAGAGCAGATAGAGCAGGAGCAGCCTACAAGCTTCCTCCCAAACCCATCCCTTTGCTAACACGCCTTAAGCCCTGACCTTAAAAGCCTATTGCTAGAAACAGGATGGGAAGTTTAATGCACATGGCTAATTTGGTCATTAGCTTGTCTCATGAGATGACAGAAACTCTGTCACCTTCTACACTCTACATTACTCTACCCTAGCACACATTTTTTCTCTCATTCTTACTATTTGCCTTCATGCCCCATTCATGTACCCAAGAAAACCACCTCCCCACTTCTTGTTGTGCCTTTTCCATCATGTTTCCTTCCACATGCCCCTATTCCTGGAACTCTTTCACTCTATTCAAATCCCTCATTGCAACTCAGTTTAGTCCATCAATGTACATCAACTCATTTAAACAAACCAAACAAATGCAACTGCATATGCTAAGATAGCATTTTCTTCTAGTTGACCAATGAACTGTCTTAATTTTGCAGGTTCCTTGGAACTGGGCCCTCATCTTCCTTATTACTTGTACAGACTGTTACCAATGCTTAAAACAGTCAATTAGTGCCAAGTGTGGTGGAAGTGTTTATGTTGTGGAAAGGTATCCACTAGCCACTGAACTGAGACCAGTGATTCATTTCAAACAGGTCAAACAACCATTAGATAATAAACTGCAGTTATTACTGACTTAGGTTGAATTTAAAACATTGGGAACATGGAGTTGAAAGGCTCCTTATCCTATTATTAATCCTCAGCTATCCAATATTCCCCATTTATTTTTAAAACTTATAACTTGCAAAGAAAAAGAAAGCATTACTTTACCACGGCAGCAGATGATGAGCAAATAAACAATGGCAAACAAGAGGTCATGGACTTAGTTTATTTTTTTACACCTTAACTCCAGGAGTAATAAAAGCAGTATAAAACAAAATACACATTTTACCTGTGGATCTTGCTTCATTTGGGCAACCAGTTTCTAGAAAGAAAGAGAGATATTCATCAACACATTACAGGGTTCAATCAAGGTTTGGTTTATTGGACAGTTTATGTAATGGCCCTGATTAGAAGTTGGAATTTAAAGAAGACATCCTGTACTTAAAAAAAATTAAAAAAATAGCAAGACTTAGCTCATCATGAACCCAAATTATTTTATAATTCACAGAAACACTGTCATTAATATAATGAGACATCCCTGTTAATTCTATAGTCAGCCCATCACCTTTCATATTTAACTGAAGGATGCTACTACCTTACTTCTTTTTAAGCAGTTCCTGCAAAAAAAGATTCCCTTTAAGGACAATTTAAGCCAGCTGGATACAGCTATTTGATTAGGTTGTGTTCTCTAAAACTGCTGCCTTCTTTGCCCACAGCCATAAGGAATACTGAACAGACTGAACTACTTCAGATACAATAGTTGTTTGTTTGTATAAATCAAATGCAGCACATTTTAGGCAGTAAGGAACTGCTTGTGTGTTGGTCTGACTGGTTCCACGTGCGAGACCCATGTTCAGAAGAGACTTTTCCACTTTCATCCCTTGAATTGGCAGTGACTGAGATCATCATGGATGAAATATCCCCCACATCCAAGGGGAAGCAGATAGATGGTTACACCATTCACTGCTGTTCCTCCTTCACTTCCTTCAGGAAATTGCAGAAGGGTGCTGCATATATAGCTAAGCAAGAGGAGGTTATCAGGATTTTACTAAGGAAAACCAGAAGCCCAAAATGATGAGGCAAGATAAACTCAACAACGCAAATTCCTGTTTTAATGGTGGCCATTTCACTACATCAAATTATTCATCTGTGAATCTGAAGGGGACATGGTAAAGTCCACACTTGCTTCCCTATCCCTTTAAAAGAAAAGAAAAGAAAAAAAGTGGAAAAAGAATCCAGAATATAAACAGATCCATTATTACACTGCATTTCACTCACATCAAATTGCTTGAAAAATTGTTAATTAGCATTTCTTAAAGATTTCAGACTTTATTTGTAATTAAAATAAATAACAAATACAAATAAATTTGTAAAGTCTCCTTTCATGTCCTAAAAAAAGACAGATAGACATGCCACTTTAGTCATGCAGAGAAGTGGATATCTTCCCAAAGGTTTATATTCTTGGCCCATTTTCATCTGCTCCTCAGTGCTCACTACCTGAGGCCTTGGCTACACTTGCGAGTTGCAGCGCTGTAAAGCCGCCCCCAGCGTTGTAACTCACTCCCCGTCCACACTGGCAAGGCATTTGCAGCGCTGTATCTCCTTGGTTGCAGCGCTGCATGTACTCCACCTCTCCGAGAGGAATAGCGAGTGCAGCACTGCCGCGCCAGTGTGGCCACCCAATGCGCTGTGAATGGCCTCCAGAATTATTCAACAGTATCCCACAATGCCTGTTCTAGCCACTCTGGTCATCAGTTCAAACTCTACTGCCCTGGCCTCAGGTAACCAACCATGTGACCGACCCTTTACATTCCCCGGGAATTTTAAAAATCCCCTTCCTGTTTGCTCAGCCCAGCGTGACATGGAGTGCTATCAGCAAATCTTTCCAGGTGACCATGCCTCCACGCGCCAAGCAAGCCCCAGCATGGAGCAATGGCGAGTTGCTGGACCTCATCAGTGTTTGGGGGGGAGGAAGCTGTCCAGTCCCAGCTGCACTCCAGCCGTAGGAATTACGATACCTTCAGGAAGGTGTCAAAGGACATGATGGAAAGGGGCCATGACCGGGACGCCCTGCAGTGCAGGATTAAAGTCAAGGAGCTGCAGAGTGCCTACCGCAAAGCCCACGAAGCAAACGGCCGCCCGGGTGCTCCCCCCGCGACCTGCAGATTCTACAAGGAGCTGGATGCGATACTTGGGGTTAACCCCACCTCCACTCCAAGCACCACCATGGACATTACAGAGTTGGTGGGAGGGAGGGGGAGAGAGGAGGAGGAGGAGGAGGAAAACTGGAGTGATGGTGGTGGGCCGGATGGAGACACCCCAGAATCCCTGGAGCCATGCAGCCAGGAGCTCTTCTTGAGCCAGGAGGATGGTAACCAGTCGCAGCGGCCGGTACTTGGTGGAGGACAAACAGAAGAGCAGGTTCCCAGTAAGCGGTTTTTTTGTTTTTTTTTTGGGAAGGAATTTTTTCGGTGCGGGCTCTTTGGGAGAGGAGGGTTAAGCATGCATGCCTAGATGCGGAATAGTGCATTGATCGTGGTAATCAGCCTCGGTAATCTCTTCGAATGTCTCATCCAGAACGTGTGCAATGCGCTTGCACAGGTTTATAGGGAGAACCACTGTGGTCCTTGTCCCAGCCAGGCTAACATGTCCACGCCACTGTGCCGCGAGGGGCGGGGGGACCATTGCTGCACACAGGCAAGCTGCATAAGGGCTAGGGCGGAAGCCGCATTGCAGTAGAAGACCCTCCCTTGCTTCCCAGGTCACCCTCAGCACCGAGATATCGTCCAGGACGAACTCCTGTGGAAAATGTTGGGACAGTGTTCAGTGTAGGTGCCCCGTGAAGCTGTTGGCTCTCCCCAAGGCACAGAAACCCAGACGACAGTGCAGCCATGAAACAATCAGTCCCCATTACTCACCATTTTGAGGCTCCCGTGGGATGTGTGCGCTCTGTTTCGGACGGGAAAATTATGCTATTGTGTAGACCCTGTGTGTTTTCTACTTCTTAAGTGTGGGGGGAATCATTACTCTGTCTGGTATAAACAATGCTGCCTCTGTTAAATGTTACGTTTTGCCTATACAGCTGCATCAACCTTGAGACCTCAGCCGTCCCTCTTATCGCCTGCTCAGAGACTGCAAAGACTCAGGAAGAGACCGCGAAAAAGCAAAGAAGACATGCTGCAAGAAGTGATGTGGCAATCTATTAAAGAGAACGAGAAGGCACAGGACTGGAGGGAGAGAGAAAGCAGGATCCGCCAGGAAAACGCAGCGCACCGGCGGCAAAGCACCGCACACCGGCAGCAAAGCACTGATAGGCTCATCAGCATCCTGGAGCGCCAAGCAGATGCTATCCAGGAGCTGGTAGCCATGCAGAAAGAGGAGCAGTACCAAAAACGCAAACGCCACCACCCCCACAGCCCTTGTCCCAAAACTTTCCGTTGTGCCCCACTGTCACCTCCAACCCATTTTCCCCAACTCCCGTGTTCTTCACGCCACCCGCTGCCTCCAACACCAGTACCTTCACCACCCAACCCTGAAGACCACGACCCTTACCCTCTGCACTCAACCCCCATCACCATGCAGTATAGCTGCCCTGAAGTGCAGCACTCACTGCACAGCACACCAGACAGGACATACGCGAATCTGTGATTGTGCTGTTCCCCATTCCACCCCCTTTTTCCTTTTCAATAAATGGATTCTTTGGCTTTGAAAACATTCTTTATTATTGCATAAAGTAAAAGACTCCTTAGCCCGGGAAATAAACAGGCACTGCAAGTCTGCTTGTCTGCTAAGCAGACACTGATTCCTAAAGATTGGAACTACTGCACTTCACTCCTGTGCAGGGCACCAGATATCACTGCTGGTTTTCAGCCTCAAATTGCTCCCTCAAGGCATCCCTAATCCTTGCAGCCCCGCGCTGGGACACTGTAATAGCCCTGCTCTCTGGCTGTGCAAATTCAGCCTCCAGGTGTTGAACCTCACAGGTCCATGCCTGAGTGAAGCTTTCACCCCTCCCTTCACAAATATTATGGAGTGCACAGCACGCGGATATAACCGCGGGGATGCTGCTTTCGGCCAAGTCCAGCTTCCCATACAGAGATTGCCAGCGGCCCTTTAAACGGCCAAAGGCACACTCCATAGTCATTCGGCACCGGCTCAGCCTGTAGTTGAACCGTTCCTTGCTGCTGTCAAGGCTCCCTGTGTAGGGTTTCATGAGCCACGGCATTAACGGGAAGCGGGATCTCCAAGGATCACAATGGGCATTTCAACTTCCCCTACCGTGATCTTCCGCTCTGGGAAAAAAGTCCCGGCCTGCATCTTCCTGAACAGCCAAGTGTTCTGAAAGATGCGTGCGTCATGCATCTTTCCAGGCCAGCCTGTGTTAATGTCAATGAAATGCCCACGGTGATCCACAAGCACCTGGAGAACCATAGAGAAATACCCCTTCTGATTAACGTACTTGGATCCTAGGTGGGGTGGTGCCAGAATAGGAATGTGCATCCCATCTATCGCCCCTCCACATTTAGGGAACCCCATTTGTGCAAAGCCATCCACTATTTCCTGCACATTACCCAGAGTCACGGTTCTTCTGAGTAGGATGCGATTAATGGTCTTGCAAACTTGCATCAACAAGATTCCAACGGTCGACTTTCCCACTCCAAACTGGTTTGCGACTGACCGGTAGCTGTCTGGAGTTGCCAGCTTCCAGATTGCAATAGCCACCCGCTTCTCCACTGGCAGGGCAGCTCTCAATCTTGTGTCCTTGCGCCGCAGGGTGGGGGCAAGCTCCTCACACAGTCCCATGAAAGTGGCTTTTCTCATCCCAAAGTTCTGCAGCCACTGCTCATCATCCCAGACTTCCATGACGATGTGATCCCACCACTCGGTGCTTGTTTCCCGAACCCAAAAGCGGTGTTCCACGGTGATTTAGAATGAAACCAAGTACTGCCTTCCACACAGCAGCTGAAAGCACTACTTCATAGAATCAGAGAAGCACAGAAATGTAGGGCTGGAAGGGACCTTGTGAATCATCAAGTCCAACCCCCTACGCTGTGGCAGGACCAAATAAACCTAGACCATCCCTGACAGGTGTTTGTCCAACCTGTTTTTAAAAAACTCCAATGATGGCGATTCCACAACCTGCCTTGGAAGCCTATAGTTAGAAAGTTTTTCTTAATAGCTATCCTAAATCTTCCATGCTGCAGATTCAGCCCATTACTTTTTGTTCTACCTTCAGTGAACATGGAGAACCATGTCCTTTTTGTAATGGCCATTAACACATCTGAAAACTATTATCAGGTCCCCACTAAGTCTTCTTTTCTCAAGACTAAACATGCTCAGTTTTTTTCCCCCTCACAGGACAAGTTTTCTAAATCTTTTACCATTTTTGTGGCTCTCCTCTGGACTCTCTTCAATTTGTCCGCATCTTTCCTAAAGCATGGTGCCCAGAACTGGACACAGTACTCCAGCTGAGGCCTCACCTGTGCTGAGTAGAGCAGGACAATTATCGCCCATGTCTTACATATGACAATCCAATTAATACACCTCAGCATGATATTAGCCTTTTTTGCAGCTGCATCATGTTGTTGACTTCAGTAAGATTCCTTATTCCTTCCAGCTTAGAGTGAAGGATAGAATTGAGTCTCGAACCTGAAGCATCTTTCCATTTGCAAGAAGTTATGATTCCCACTAGTAGCAGCCCTGTCCAGGACTTATTTCTGTAAGACTTTTGATCATTAGTACAGTGGGTGGTGCAGGAAAGGAGAGGAGAGTCAGTTCTAATGAGTTTAAAGGGCTACAATCATAAATATAAAATGGGGAGATGCAATGAAGGAAAAAAACACCCAGCACATTAAAGTGAGTTTATTTTAATACTGTCTCATTATAATCACAATATTTATTTTCATATAACAGAGTATTATAGCTGCCACAGGTAAGGTGCAGAATAAAGAGGTTGGAAGGTTGTACAATATGAAAAAGTTTGACACCACTAATTTCATATATTTCTAGATACACATACATGTCCCCATCAGCAACATGGGTACAGGGAATGAGGAAAAGGAGGAATTTGTACAGTTAACTTAAATTTAATGAAGCCATCTGAAACTGATGAACGAAGATGACATGATGAAGGACAATTCACTCAGTGACACGCAGTGCTGGCTTCTGAGTGTGCTATATTGTACCTTTTGCTGAAATACAAAATATTACCAATATATATTTCTATGCAAGATTTTTCTTGAATCAAAATTATATCACATAACTTACTTTTCCAACACACTGCCTAATGTCACTCTCCATTTGAGCTGTACAGCAGTAAACAACAATGAAGTTTCCTGAACTCCATCTTTACTTTGTTAAAGACACACTTATATGCTCCTGAAAAAGTTACCTTTTAAAATGAAAAATATGATTAGTAGAAATAAAAGTGAAGACAAGGGGCAAAGTCCTTTAGGCCAATTTCTTCTTTTATGGCGAGATGCTAGAGACACTTCCATAACTAGGGCTGAAATAAACCTTCTGCTATAATGACACCTCTGACTTTGCCAAATCAAAACCAATTTGCCTGAAATCAGTCTTGGCTCAGGGTAGAATTTTTTGGGAAAGCCTAAGGCAAATTGGACACACACAAAAATAGAAGATACATGGGTCCATTTTTTAAAAATAATTCTCTTCCTAAACATTATCCAATTTCTAAAAAAACAAAACAAAAAAACCACATTAGTAGACCTATACCTAAAAATATCAGTTGCCCTTAGTAAGTACTGGTACCTTTGAGCAATTTGGGGAGAGTTTGGAATGTATGTAGGACACAATGTGAAAACAGCATTCTGAACACTGCATACCAGTTGGCACATATTTTAAGAAACATGCACAGGCCTGATGCATGCTTCATAACCCTGCAACAGTGCCATGGGCCATTAAGAAAGCATTCAGAACCTCAATACAAAACTTTATCAACTCCACATGGAAGATAAGGACCTTCAAAATCCGCCCCACACTTGCATATAAGGGGTTAATGATGCCGTAGGGCGGCTGTGCGAAAAGCAGCCAATCAGAGCCTGACAAGCCCATATAAGAAGAGCTGTAGAACAAAGCAGGTTCAGTTGCTCCCTGGAGCTCAAGGAGAAAGGCCTGGCTGCCTTGCAGGAGGAAGGAACGCCAGCACTGCTACTACCGGGGAAGCTAGAGAGAGCTCCTGGCTGGTGGCTAAGACTGACATGCTTGAGGCCCTGAGGGAAGGGTGAAGAAAGTGCTGGAGCTGTGGAGAAGTGGCCCAGGAAAATGTACTGAGAGGTTGGAGGGGATACAGCATGTGGCTGGCATCTACAGGGTCCCTGGGCCGGAACCTGGAATAGTGGGTGGGCCCAGGTCCCCCCACACTGGTTGGACAGTTGGACTGGCCCCCGGAATGGGGAGCGCAGTGTGTGGGGCATGGCCAGAGGGCTGTGTCATGAAGACAACGCTGTAGTCCTTGGAGTGATGCGGGTCCAGGAGCAGGAGTGACGGTGGGCGAGGAACACTGGGAACGGACATACTGACCTGCGGACCTGATCGCCAAGACAACCAGCAAGAGGCGCTAGTATGATGAGTGGAGCCCCATCACAAGCACATAATGCTAATCTGCAATTCTGGAAGCTGGTATCTGGCTCTCTTTAAATGATCCACCTGCTCCCAGTAAAAGGCCTCAGCGTCTATCAGAATGCATCTAAAGCTAGAATAGAGGAAAGGCTTGAGTTCTGTTCGACACTCTTCCATGTTTTGGTCTTAACACTTCATAAACTTTATTCAGTTAGAGCTCACAACATCCCTGTGAGCTAGACAAATATAATTATCCTAATTTTACTGATCTAACCATTCAAGTATTATGCTCATTGTGGTAGCTGACAAAAACAGAAGTGAAGAGACTTGCTCACAGCAAGACAATGTCAGAGCCAAGTTTACAGTTCAAATCGTCTATAAACTTCATCACAGAATCCCACACACATCTCATTTTACTCGTGTAAAAGAAGTAGCAGTTCTCACATGTCCCTGAGAGATACTCACACAGTTAGTTGATTTTATATTAATTTAGTATTTTGAAAAGATAACACTACATTATGGTAGTAACTCCATAGTTATGGTTGTGACCTTACCTTATATTTGAAAAACCATTTTGACACACCTCCACTTACGTTTCTCAATGCTATACCAATCTAACTAAAATTACTCATTTGCGATGAAACGGAATGGCTGTTATTTTTATTGCCATTTAGCATCTGACAGACAAAGCTTAAGCATCTTAACACTACAAAATAAAGATTCTTCTTGAGCTCAGGTGAAAGGAGGTTGTTTCTACAGCCAAATATCTTGGGTTCTATTTAAAATACCACTCGAGTGGCTTTCACCCTGGGGTCTAAGCCCCAGCTGTATCAGCATTCAGGATGTTCTCACTGGAACACATCTCTCCATGATTCCAGGATTTTCTCCCTATCCCTCATGTTAGCTGTATGTGCCTTTGGACCACAAAGACCTTTCAGCCAAAATTCACTGAAAATGCCCTCTTTAGATTGTTTCCTCAATGCTGAAGAATGTCATTTTTAAAAAAAATTCAGACCAATGGATTTATGAAGTATTTACTGGCATAAAGAAGCCACTGATGGTTAAACAGAAAGTTTGAAGTGTAAAGTTCTATAGCAATTTCAAAACTTAACAGGCTATTGCTATACCTGACCTCTTAGGACTAACCATTACTTGCACTAAAATGTATGAGAAGAAAACCAAGAAATAAAGAATACAACTTACCTGGTGAACCTGAATTTCCACTTTCAGAGCCTCCTGTAGAGTCTGCAACTCCATTCTCTACCTTCTCCACTCTTTCTAGCTGTCTCTTTACTAATTCCACAGTGCGTTCAGTCTCTGGCTTCAGAAAATGAAAGTTCCTTTTCTCCACACTATTGCTGTAGAATAAAGTTTTTATTTTATGGTTAGCAGAAGCCAGAAATTAGGGAGTTTTTAAAACATAGTTATACTATAATAAAAAACATGAATACTGAAATCAAATAGACCATCTTTCATAATAGCATCGGAGTCTACTTTGCAGATGATCCTTGCAAACATAGGGAACCTAACAGCTTCCCAAAGAAAGCTTTCCTTCTGATCTTTTAACCTGACTTGGAAACTTTCTGAACTCCTGAAAATTGACATTCTTGCTCCCTGTGTTAAAGTTTGCGGGCAGACATGTTTGCCTACAAACACTCTACTAACTTACATATTAAACTAGAACAGAATATATATTCCCAGTGCTGCACGAAAGGGATTAAAACGTATCTTTTACTGGAGGAACAGCATTGCATAAGCTCGAAAGCTTGTATCTCACCAACAGAATTTGGTCCGACAGAAGCTATTACCTCACCCACTTTGTCTCTCTATAATCTATTAAGACCATTTAAAATTAAATTAAAAAATAATATTCAAGTGGTACATGTTTACAGCTGAAGTTCTGAAGAAAGTCAAACCACTGAACTAGTGGTAGTCCTGGGGCAAGTACCAGAGTTTGTTGAAGTGCTAAACCAGTTTAAGACAGCAGTAGCCTCTTCTGGAAGCACAGGGAAAATATTTTCTTCACGCCAGTTTAACTAGTTTAGTTCAATGACTAGTTCATTCAAAGTTAAGACGCCAGTTTGAAGCTGAAAAGCATGAAAGCTTGTTTTCCACTTCCAATCTTTGAATAAAAATGTGATATGACAGAATGAGATTTACTAGCTCTAAAATCCAGAAGACAAACTAAACGATCAGTTCAATTCACTAACCATAGATAATGCTTTGTTCAATAAATCAGTTATAGTTTTAAATGCAATTTTTAAAAAAAAATTATCAAAAAGTTTATTTATTCAGCACATTTAAGGCAGAACTTTTAATGAATTAAAAAAATTAAGTTTTAGTGCATTTTTAGTTGCATTAGAATTTCCATCCAAATACAGCTTGACACAATCTCTCTCTCTCATACACACACACACACAAAATCTAGTAAACAAGAAATGCATTATTCACCACTTTCTAACAATCAAAAATGTAAAAATTAGGAATCTGAATAAATGTATGTTAAACTCTAAAGTTCCTTAAATAAACTTGTACTGTAGCCTCCTAGGTTTATAAAAGCAGCACCAAATTTAGTGTAACAGGTACATTTAATTGAAAATCAGCATGTTGTAATGGTGAGCAACCAGTGAAAATTAACCTCTCTTTAGGAAAATAACTGAAGTACAAATGCAAAGCAAGATTAAAATCTGATTTCAATCAAGGTTTCCTGCTTGCTGATCTAAATTATTAAAATCTGTGATTTAAATCACTTTGATTTAAATCAATCCATGATGATTATTAATAAAGTCAATGAGTCTTATTTTAACATTTTCTGTCTATGGCAGGAGTTCTCAAGCTTCATTGCACCGCAACCCCCTTCTGACAACAAAAATTATTACACAACCCCAGGAGTGAGGACCGAAGCCTGAGCCCCGCTGCCCCAGGTGCAGGGCCAAAGCCCGAGCCCTACCGTTCCAGGCGGGGGAGGAAGGGGGAGGGCAAAGCCCAAGAGCTTCAGCCCCAGGCAGGGGTCTGTAACCTGAGCCCCACCACCCAGGGCGGAAGTCCTTGGGCTTTGGCTTCGGTCCCAAGCGGTGGGGCTGGGGCTCGGGCTTTGGCCACAGCCCTATGTCCCAACAAGTCTGAGCCAGCCCTAGCGACCCCATTAAAATGGGGTCCCAACCTAAAGTTTGAGAACCGCTGGCCTACGGGAAACAAACCAGGGTTGGGCAGAAAATGAAACGGATTAAGAACAAAGTGAAATTTACCAGTCTAGTTTTGCTGTCCAAACTGAGTCAAATCGCAAAAAGTACTCAGTATATAAATGGTGAAAATATAAGTATTAGATTTTAATTCATTAATTTTTTAAGTTTAACGGACATTAGTTATAGGTAAAGTGTTTTTTAAAGAAAAGGGAGGGGGGGCTCCAATCATGTCTCCTAGAACTGTGAATAGAAGGACCATCCGAGTGTGGCTCTCCCAGCATCGGATATTGAAGAGACAGGGCAGCTGCCTCTACAGCACCACACCCACACAGAGATTCTTCCACAGGTTTCATGAGGTTCATATGGGCGAGTAGGTGGAAATTAGGTGAGAAACTATACATCATTTCCCAGCTCTTGTGCTACAAACCTTTATGAGAAAATACAACTCTAGGCTCTCTTACCCTTTCCTCAGAGGCCCCACCAGGGTTCCAGAAGGACCCGTGTCCTGGTAAATTGCTGCTGATGCAACTCCAATTGAAATGCAGTACTTGGGAGCTAAGAGGGGGGTGAATGCTGATGTAAGGAGCCTCAGAGGCACAGGGTCTTCCACTGGCCTCAGGGAATCAACCAGATTTGGGAGCAGGCCCCCCAATCCCACATATCCCCAACTGGATGACATGAGGGAAACCTCTGCATGGGATTCGTCATGGAGATCTGCTCTCCCCAAACCCTTCATTGTGGGCATGACCACCTGAGAAAAAGATCTGAGCCATAATTTCTCTCATCAGCGTCTCTTTAAACAACAAGAAAACCTACAACAATTAGTATCCTGCAATAAAATATTAATCCTTTGAGTTATAGAAGTGCAAACAATTCACCTATATTTTACCCTACTTTACATATTACATTTTTTGATCTAGAAAGGACAATTTTTTCTTTTTAAACCAAGAAAAATAAAGAGTTTCCACTTTTTAGATTGCCTGCCAACCTTCTGTCCAAGAGGAATTTTTTTACAAATGAAAAAGACTAGTATTGAGAATGTTGAGGCCTTTAACTCTAGTGCTTATCTGTTATTGTAGCTAGCACATACTAGGGTTATGTGATTCTAATAGAGTATTAAACATTGCACATTAACACCAGTTTAAAACAAAAAAGTTGAAAAGCAAAGGAAAAATTAAGAGACTATGCTGTCAAACACAATACAGAAAAAGTAAAATCAGGTTTTACACATGTGCTTTAAATTGAATGTAAAAAATAACAGAGCACTGGAAATATAAAGACATTATAACTACCGTTAATGAGGGGGCAACAGAGGGTCCTGTGGCACCTTTAAGACTAACAGATGTATTGGAGCATAAGCTTTCGTGGGTGGCTGACAGGTCAAATTCATTTGTCAGGTGTGTTAGTGGGGCATGAAAAGCAAAGTTCAATTATTCTGAAAATACCCTTAACAACCTATGAGTTACACATTTTAACCTTTATAAAAATGTTGGTTAGTATATGCAGTACCATGCATACGTGCAGCTAAAAAGTCTGGGTCATGCTAAATTCAAATTTTCAGATTCAAGCATTTGCAGTCCACTGTTTTCCTTCTGAAATAAGCAATAAATGGGTAATTACTGGCAATTAGTGCACATCACCGGTACACTGTGGCAGGCATGAGGTCAAAGACAAAGCCAGCCAAGACCTGCATCAGTATCTTACTAATGCACAGCTTCACAGAGTCTGTTGCAATTTGAAGATATTTTTTTACCGTTTTCCATTTCTCCCCCCCCCCAATAAACTACACAAACACCAATAACTGGGGGGAGGGGGGAGATTTTAAGCAGCTCCTTAAATTTCAAACGGCTTTGGATCAGATTCCATATAAAAGGAGCTCTAGATAAGCCCAACACTCACCTCACAGGGCAAGAGAAATTAGCAAGGAAAATTAACATCTTTCTCTAACCTTTCTTCCTCAAGTTCACTAAACTCTTGACTTGCTCCCTCTTTCCCTCATCTCACAACCCGTTACTCTTTCAAAAGAACTGATTTTGGCCCAACAGTCCTTTCAATTAAGGGCTAAGGGCACAAACCAGTTCTGAAAAGGTCAGCCAGACCCACAGAAAGCAGTTCAAAACTGCCACTTTTCTCCTCTTGAACCATTCTTCCAGGCTAGCTGCTGTATTTGTCAGATAGTAGCACTATTATTCTTTTTGCAAAGAAATGGAATGAGGATCCCTAAAGCAGTTCCCAATTCTTCTTTTTTAAAATACAAATAAAATGTTACACAGTATAAATGCTTTGTATTAGTAATAAAAATAATACTTATATATAGGGCTGTCAATTAACCACAGTTAACTTATGCAATTAACTCAAAAAATAAACTGTGATTAAAAAATTGTGATTAATTGCACTGTTAAACAATAGAATACTAATTGAAATTTATTAAATATTTTTGAATTTTTTTCTAAATTTTCAAATATATTGATTTCTATTACAACACAGAATACAAAGTGTACATTGCTCACTTTACATTATTATTTTTGATTACAAATATTTGGCACTGTAAAAATGATAAAAGAAATTTTATTTTTCAATTCACCTCATACAAGCACTGTAGTACAATCCCTATCATGAAAATGTAACTTACAAATGTAGATTTTTTTGGTACAGAATTGCACTCAAAAACAAAACAATGTAAAACTTCAGAGTCTACAAGTCCACTTAGTCCTACTTCTTGTTCAGCCAATCGCTAAGACAAACAAATTTGTTTACATTGGTGGAAGATACTGCTGAGTGCTTCTTATTTACAATGTCACTTGAAAGTGAGAACAGGCATTCACATGGCACTCTTGTAGCCGGTGTTACAAGGTATTTACATGCCAGATATGCTAAACATTCATGCTTCGGCCACCATTCCAGAGGACGTGCTTCCATGCTGATAATGTTCATTAAAAAAATGTGTTAATTAAATTTGTGACTGAACTCCTTGGGGGAGAATTGTATGTCTCCTATTTTACACACATTCTGCTATATATTTCATGTTATAACAGTCTCGGATGATGACCCAGCACATGTTCGTTTTAAGGATACTTTCACAGCAGAACCCGTCATCATAGAATCATAGAACTGGAAGGGACCTTGAGAGGTCATCTAGTCCAGTCCCCTGCACTCAAGGCAGGACTAAGTAT